CAGGACGTCAGTCTTTGTGTCTTTTCAGTAAAGGTAACATCTTGCTTGAGACTCTCTTCAACTAAATGCTTTTTTTCTGTATTTGCAAGCAAATTATTGGTCATTTTGAAATTTATTTTACATATTGACAATATATAATGCAGTGCAGTGTTGATTTAAAGAACATAATCTTGAATTACACCAAGAGAACTAAAATTTTATGGGTGAAATGGTGCCATGGGGTGACTCCTCTTCCACCCCATTGCCTTCTCTTTTACTCCACCCCCATTCTAATTCCCATCATCATCATCATCCAGGAGCCTTCTACATACACACCTCAAAGTAAGTTTACTTTTCTACCTTTTTTGTTGAATTTAGGCAATTTTCGGTGAGCTGGAACCAATTACTCCAAAACCCATTGAAACAATGGTTTCGGTTAACGAGTTTTTCGGTTAACGAGCAACCTTCTAGAACGGATTGTGCTCGTTAAACTGAGGGACCACTGTAATGTCACAGACTAAAGTTAAGAGAATATAATTTGCATTGCTGGAATCCTTTCAAGACAGCGAACAATTTGAATATAAACGTCATATATTTTGCACAATGAGATAAACATTTTTGCTCTCTGTAATAAAATTCTTAAATTAGAACTAAAATTTGTATGTCTAATGCGAGCTATGGCATGTTTATATTCAAACTAATCACTATCTTATAAGAATTCCAGCAATGTAAATTATATTCTCCCAGGTCACTTCAGTGACATTTTATAAGAGAAAAACTTTGTCACTCTTAAGGACTGATAAATAAATAAGCACTAGACCTTGGCAGCAACTGTCAAACATATCACCTCACCTCCCCCTCATCTTCCCATCAGCTGATCACTAGTAAACAGACCATTTCATGTCCCTTAATTTTAGCTGTGTTGATTTATGAGTGTTTGTTTTAACATAATACTACAAAAAACAATGTTTTGTTTATTCTAGGAGATAGACTGAGGTGCATTTGGGTAGACTCTCAGTCTTTTTAGTATTTTGTGTTTCTCTCAAGTACCAAACTAAATTATTCCATTGAAACAACACTTCGATTTAGTGCAAATTCGGTTTAAAGTGACCTCTCTTGGAACCTATCTCGTGTTATATCGATGTTCTACTGTTCTAAGTTTTTGTTTTATTAGAATCGGCCCATAAATAGCCGAGCCTTAGGGATTTGAAGGTTAGAAAAACTCGTTCTGATATAAAGGTGGCGTGAGAGCAACTCATGATTGTACCTCACTCTCGCATATTTCATGGGTCATTGACTCGTGACGACGGTCTCCCGTGATTAGCTTGCTGAGAAAGGTGCCAGATACTGAATTTTACCAAGTGATTGCTATTACTTTATGCCAATATATTATTATAAATACAGGTCCACCACCGATTTTCCAGCACTCTTGGTTCCAAAGCCTTGCTGGATTATCCGTTTTGCCGGACCAACCGAGGTCAGGTAATAATACAAGGTCTGTCCAAACTTTTTAAAAAATCAAATTTATTGCTTTACTTACAACTTAATCAGACTTGTCTCCTTCAAAGTACTCCCCCCCCACTGTTGATACACCGCTCCCAACGTTTTTCCCAGTTCTGGAACGCGTCCTGGAACGCGTTTTGAGGGCTGGTGCGCAGGTCTCATAGTGAATTTTCTTCTATCTGTTATATCGTCTGAATCGGTGACTGTTCAGGGTGGATTTCAACTTTGGGAACAAAAAAAGTCCGCAGGGGCCAAATCGAGAGAGTAGGGCGGCTGGGGGACGATAGTCGTCTCGTGCTTTGCCAAAAAGTCACGGTTAAAGAGCGACGCGTGAGCAGGTGCATTGTCATGGTGCAGCATCCACGTCTTGTTTGTCCACGCCTCAGGCCTCTTCCTTCGCACTGCCTCCCTCAAACGCTTCAGGACCTCCAAGTAAACCTCTTTATTGACTGTGTGACCACGTGGAACAAACTCATGATGAACGACGCCCTTCCAATCAAATAAGACGATCAACATCACCTCCACATTTGAGCGACTCTGACGTCCAGATTTGGGATCGTCTTCGGTGGATGTTCTTCCCCTTTTGAAACGCTGGTACCACATGTGACATTGCGTATGGCTCAAACAATCCTCCCCATAAGCCTGTTGCAATATTTGAAAAGTCTCCTTAAAAGTTTTTCCAAATTTGAAACAGAATTTCACACAAACACGTTGCTCTTCAAGATCCTTCATTATTCAACTTGCAACAAATCGCCAAGTGCACTAAACACACATTCACTCTAGCGTGTGTAGCTCAATGACCAATTAACGTGGCGTGATGAAACTAGTGCTAGACTAAAGGTCAAGGTCACCGCTACACAGCGCTACCATTGCGAGCACGCTGCGCTGGCTCGTTGGCCCGCTATTTAAAAAGTATGGTTTCTTTTTGGACAGACCTCGTAAATAAACAATACACCTCTGACCCATTAATGATACACCTCCTGTGTCTCTAAAGCACCATGGACTGCTAGAAACATAAATTAAACAAATATTAAATGTAAATTAAATGTGAAAAAGCCATAATTTTGAGCACCATATTACTGTACACACTTTGTACTCAAATGTACTAAGTTAATTACTAAAAATTTTATGTCTAGTGCAAACTATGTGATGTTTATACTCAAATTAACCATTGTCTTACAAGGATTCCAGCAATGCAAGTTATATTCTGTTAAGTCTAGTCAGCGACATTTTAGAGGATAAAAACTTTAAGCCTAAAACTACCTTCACCCTGGCTGGGAGGATGGGGGAGGTGAGGTGTTGACAGCTGTCAGGGAGGGGAGATAACAAAGTGCATAGTTCTCTTTTAGAGGGAGTTTAAGTTTTGCACTTATAAAATGTCACTGCACTGACTTGGCAGGATATAGCTTACATTGTGGGAATTCCTGTACGATAGTGATTAATTTAAGTACAAACATCCCATAGTTTGCACGACATAAAATTTTTATTAATTAACTTCGTACATTTGAGTACAGGTTTGCCCTTAGGACAATTATTTCTTTTACTCTTTTTCACAATATGTATTTAGGATGGTGTGTATATGCAAATGAGTAAAAATAGATGAAGTTATGTATATCAACCCAAAAATGAGTTGAAAAATAACTATAACATCTCACAGCTTGGCCCAGTAGCCTGGTGGTTGCAGTGACGAGTCTAACCTGGCTACAGTGCCATGATTAATCACTATTAAGCATTATTATATCAGTAAACATTAATAGTAACAGTAAATCCAGTGAAGTATGGCAAGAAGGGAGGGAAGTTAAGTGCCCTCTCGTAATTTTGTCAGGACTAAAGGAGGTGCCGGACCATCAGTTCCCGGAAAATCGGTGGTGAACCTGTACTTTTCTACAGCTTTTCCTATGTAAACAGAAGGGTCCTCTAAATGAAGGTGGGGTAGAATAATCATGCATAGCTACATAAATATTACGAATTACACAATAATTAATACATCAGCATATAGCCATAGGCAACAGCTTTCTTCAGGAATTTTTCAGAATATTTTCGTAATTTTCCGACTTTCATCCCGGACGCCCCCCTTAACTAATAAGGCAGCAGAGCAAGGTGCACATAACAGTAACATTACTGAAAAACTAATGCTGTCAACACTATGCCCTACATTATCTTCAACTTAGTGAATATTGTACAATCTCTAAATGTCCTAATCTCAAAAACTGTAGGTTAATTGAGAAAAAAAAAGCATGTACATAAAGGGAGTTTTACTGTCATGAGATGCAAGAAAAAAAATGACAAGGAAGATATTTCTGTGTCTGGTAAGTGTATTTTGATAATGATTCAAGGATCTGCATTTTAGCAGGTATCAATATCAATGTGATGGTTTAAATACTATTTCAGCAATGACAACCCAACTACAGTATATTCTTTTCCATCTATACTCAGCAGACTGATTCCTCTACAGTTTTTACACTTTTTTTTTACTGTCTTCCTTTACATAAGGCAATTATTACTGGATTAGATTGCTGATATAGATCTTATCCTGTTTTCCATGTCATCTGACATACTTTTAGTGGGATACTTATTATTTTCTGCATTCAAATTTTTCAATATTTAGGCTCCAGAACCTTCCACTTCCAGAGAATTGCACAATTTGAATTTGTTTATTGCTGTTTAAATCTCTTCTCTAAATGATTTCCTCTACAGTATATCTTAGTTTTGTCTTTCTTCCACCATCCATTAGCATAAAATATGTTCCTTCCTTCCAATGACTGACTATCTATCCTGTTTCTCCTTTGTATCTCTTTATCAGCTAATGGTACACCATTCCCTTCCCCATTTGCGTTCTTATACCAGGAAGTTTTTCAATACAATTTTCAGGTACCAACAAATTACAGCTTAACTTTCTTTATGTTAACGATTTCTTAACAGGGTACCAAATGAGCTTAGATAATATGGGAATTATGGTGAAATTGCATAATGTTGTAGTAATGTCGGACGTGGAGGGGCACTGAGCGCTCAGGAGCAGGCGAGGAGGGATGCCTAGTCCACCAGCCAAACACCCTGCCTCCAACTCACAATTCACTCCCCACTTTTCATTTCTCTTATTTTATAGTTTTGAATATTTTCTGTATTTTATAGTCACATTAGAGCATTGAAGTGATATCGTTATTATATATTTTCTATATTTCTAAGTTAAATTAAAGCAATGAAATTATAATTCCACAATGTTCATGGTTCCTTATGCATATAAACACCGCGACAAGCGGTTGGGAATTATGAATACTCTGCATTAGACTGCAAAATTAAAAAAAAAAAGAGATAGTAATAGAGGTACTGTACTATACCCTTGAAATTAAGAACATGAATTATCGTGACCCAATGTATAAGAGCAATACTGTAATAACAAATAAAAATAATAATATTACAATAACAACATTAATACAGTAATAACAATAGAGCAATGAAATAATAATAAAAATAATGATAGATTAATAATAATAGTGATAATAATAACATTGACTTACCTGAAGTGACACATCCACCACAGATGGGTCAGGAGGCATCATTACTTTGGATAAGAATGGCCTCACAGAACCTAAAAGCATGATCTTAATATGAAGGATAATCTCTTCAAGACGAGTGCGTTGAATCTCTGGTAGGGGATAATCATCCAAGGTCAATTTTCGTGCACGTGTGAACAGATGATAACACACACCATCTTGTACTCTGAAGAAAAATACAAGAAAAATAAAGTATTGATCCTGAAATCCCATTTCATAATCAAATTAGGATGAAACAACTCCATACCAATCAAAAATGGTAGGGGTTAAAACCCCAGGCTGCAACTTGTTACTGGGGGAATAAATTGGATCCCATGACTGTTAATACAGGGGGGCCCCCCCAAATTTGCGGGGATTGGATTCTCAAAATGCAGAATGTCCGCGAATAACATTTGCTGACGGGGGGGTGGGTGTGTGTGTGTGTGTGTTACATTTTAGCTTGCATACAAAGAAATGTATATTCCCTTTATGTGTTTGCCCTTAGGACAATTATTTATTTAACCTGTATTGTATACAGTATATGTGTAATAATAATAATAATAAATGGTTTATTAATAGAGTTGCAGCCGGTGGCTGAAAATATACAAACTTACATTTGATTTAGACATAATGATATGCGTTGAATACATTTACAGGGCTGTAAAGTACATAAATCAGATGTTTATTATTTTAACAATAGATGGGATGGTGCTATTCTTATATTTATCGGTGCGGGCTCTTATGGGCTGAATTTTATTGTAGTGGCGGACTGAGCGAGGTGGGTGGACTGCCGGTGGCAGGTGGCGGCGATGACGAGGATGGTGCACTAGTCCACTGCCAAACCTTGCTAGTGCTTGGTGGTGGAGGTCACTGAGGGATGGCATTTCCAGGGTGGATAGAGCGTTGATGTAGCCGGAGTAGTCTGTGCCGAGCATGGTTCTGCAGGCCCTTTTCTGTACCTTCTCTAGCTGACATTGTTGGGTGGAGTTGAGAGAAGACGACCAGGCTGGTGACGCATACGTTAGTTTGGGGAGAATAAAAGAGTTGTAGATAATCCTCAGCTATGGCGTGGGTGTCCCAAGTGACCTAAGTCGTCGTAGCATCTAGACTTGGTACGAGGCTGCCTTGATTGTGTTGTTTACATGGGCCTTCCAGTCCAGTTTATGGTCTATGGTAACACCCAGGAGTTTGGCAGACTGCACTAACTGGAGAGGATGGGCACCCACTGTGACTGCTGGAGCTTGCACTGGAGTGATGGCAGTATTGATGTGCATGACTATGGTTTTGGTGTGGTTGATGGTGACCTTGTTCTCCGTAGTCCATGCCTGTAGCATGTCCAGGGTGCCTTGTAGCGATGAGTAGTCTGGTGAGGTGTTGTCCACTGTAACCCCCACAGTGCAGTCATCCACGTACTTCCACCTGTGAGGAGTGTCCGATAGAGCATTGTTGATCAGGATGAGGAAGCACAGTGGTCCCATCTTGGTCCCCTGGGGAACACTGCAGGTGAGGTGTTGGAATGTGGAGACTGAACCCTGATACCTCACTGCCTGACGACGTCCACTCAAGAAATCAGTGAGCCATTAGACCAGGTTGGTGGGCAACCCTAGTACAATGGCCTTGTTGATAACAGTGCAGTGATCAACAAGGTCAAAAGGCTTCCTGAAGTCAACAAGGGCAACGGCCAGTGATGTCTTACGTTTCTGCAGGTTTTTGTGCAGGAATATCAGAAAACTAAGCAAGCAGTGGGATGTAGAGGAGGTCCTCATATTGCCAAATTGCTGTGGATCAATTGACTGATAGATTCTAGCAAATGCCCACTCAAAAACAAAATCTCCACAGAGTTGACTGGGTATGGGGGTAATGGCAACTGGCCTGAGGTCGTTAGGGGACTGTGGGGTGGTGACCTTGGGGATAGGGGTGACAAATGCGGATTTCCATTCATTAGGGCATTTGCTTTGTCTGAGGGATGCATTAATAATAGAACAGAGGGGGTGGCAAGTTCGACTGCAAACTCCTTGTATATTTTGATTGGGAGGTTAATTGGGGTCGTGGAGAGTTGGGTTTAAATTTCAGGAGTTTGTTGGCGATTTCAAATGGTTGAACACTGGGAGGGGGGAGGGGGAAGGTAAGTAAGCCAGGAGGAGAGTGAGGTCAAGACTGGGTAGGGTATAACATATGGTAGCAAAGTGGTTATTAATTATCTCGGCTGCATCCTCACTAGGTAAATGTGAGATGAAAGGAAGTGTGGGAGACTGGCGGCTAAGACCACAGAGATCTTTTACCTTGGAGTACCACTGGCCGATGCCGACCTCCATGCACTTTCCTGGGATAATAAGACTTCTTGGCCGACTTGATTTCCCTGATGACCTGGTTACGTAGACTTTTGTACAGGCGGTTGTTGGTGTAGTATGCCTTGTTGCGATGCTCGATTACTCTTTTGATACGGGGTGTAACCCACGGAACATCATCAGGGTGGATCCTCAGTGTCTTGGCTGGAAAGAAGTGGTTGTAGGCTTTGGGGATAGTGTCCAGGTAATTATCCCACTTGTTCTGCACATCGTCTAACGTAATCACTTCAGTCCAGGGATACCGTGTTATCCATTGTCCGAAAAGCCGCATGGCAGAGTCAGGGGTAGGTCGGTAAGTCCTGGTGGCAACTGGCAGTCGTGAGTTGGTAGGTGTAGGTGACCACAGTAGAGAAAGGTGGGGGCTGCGCCCCATGGGAGGCAGCGGCTGGGGAGGAAGGTAGTGGCTGCCGAGATCAGCCATGATGAGGTCAAGGGTGGCATTCCCATGTGTGATAAAGTCAACTATTTGTGCAAGGTGGAGGCATTGGGTGATGTCACTGATGTCTAACTCATTAAAGTCACTGCATATCACTAGTTAAGCACATGGAAATCTGGATCTCAAGGAGTCAGCAGTGTCTGTTATATGAGTAACCAGTACATTGGCGATTGGTGTGCAGGGGATAGCAAACACAAACAATGAGGGAGGCAAGCTGGCGGGGGTGGGAGGTGGGAGTGACCTGAACCCACAAGGCTTCTACATCTTCAGGTACATTAACACCTAGGGGTGATGGTTTAAGGTCACTGCGACAGTACAGCACTACACCCCCACCTCTCCTGTCCTGTCCTTTCTAAGGTGATGAAATAACTCATAGTTTTCTATGGCACAGATGTGTGTGTGTGTGTGTGTGTGTGTGAAGACACACACACACACACAAAACACGTGCAAATAAATAATAATGGAAAATACTCTCACAAATAATCAGAAACAAATTTATTAAAAATGTGACAGTCTACCCTTAAGTCTGTACTTTATTACTTTATTAATAAAGCACGGACTTGAGGTTAGACTCACACTTTTAATAAATTTGTTTCTGATTATTTGTGAGAGAATTTTCCCAATATTATTTATTTGTACAATACAGATATTGTAAAGGGAATTACTGTCTCTAGAACGAATGGCTCCCAGTCCCAGCCGTGAAAATGCCGGCAACTTTAAAACTACCCACAGACATTCTTGGGTACATCCATAGTGTCATCCGCGAATAATAGAGGACCACGAAATACAAATCCGAGAATTTTTGGGGCCCCTGTACCGGAGCTTAATTTACTTCAATATTAACCACCCTAATGCTAACCTAAGCTAACCTTATCTAATACATTATAACTTTTAACTTAATCCTCTTAGGTAACATTAGTGTGTATAATCAGTGAGTGAAATAAACTTGGAGACCTAATCTTCATGTGATCCAAAAAATTGGTAATCGGATAATCCTTCATTTTCAAACGTTTGTCCCAAAAGAGATTCACTTGGTAAGAATGTTTTCTGAAAGGAATGAAGGCTTGAGAGTTTTGCTATGAGCATAACACTAGACACTCTGATCCATTTAATTGTTAAAAAAATTTACTAAGTACTCCTTACTAACCAACTCCAAAGAGAAGGGGGAGAGAAAATGAGTTGCCCAATCATGATTTGACTATAAACTGGGAACTCGGGATCAATTTTCTAACCATAACCTATGCCTGAATCGAGCAACTCCATATACCAAAGCCAGCTCAAAAAGGAGGAGCCCCCTTTGGGTCATGCAATCCTGAGGTAAATAACCAGTAATTGCTCTGACAGGGGTGTTACTAATATTTTGATTGACAAATGATTCACTAATATTTCATCTTCAGTTTGACCACTGAAGTGTACCTACCATAAATTCTTGTCTGCCTTTAGTACTGCCACTTACTTAACAGGATAAACAATAATAATCATGTTATAACCTAAATGGTTCCAAATCCTGATACCCTTGCTCCTAGCCCATTACTAGACTATCGTATTCTAAAAATAGCCATACATGTAGCTCACAGAACTGGGGACTGGGACAAACCAGACCTTATCATGTCTTTGACTCAAAGATGAAGTTGAAGAAGACCTGAAAATGGATAGAGCTGAACCAGTTGAACAAGCAAAACCTTCCTTGGCTAGAGAGGAGTTACCACAATAGTTACCCCTGTGAACTGCTCACCTCTGACATTTCCTAAAGAATATGGGGAAAAAGGAGGGAAGAAATAAATCTGTTCCTGAGTATTCCGGTTTATGTTGAATGTGTCCAAACCTACTGACCCCTTCTATGGAAAAATCAAATTCAATACCAGAAGCTTGTAATTATTTGACATCACAATGAAAACCACTCTTGTATAAGCCCCAAGGGAGAGAATTCATGGAATAGAAACTGCACTTTATCTCCATTCAAAGGCACTGCTAAAAAAAAAGAGAGAGAGAACTCCGAAGCTAAGGTGACGAAGTTCGTTGATACCGTACTGTATATCCTACTGGTAGTGTACAAGATGGCCTCTGAAACTTAGCGATGACCCCCCCCCCAAAAAAAAAAAAATAAATAAATAAATAAATAATAAAAGTAAATAAAATAAAATAAATAAACTAAAATTATAAAACAGGGTAGGGGTCATCTTATACACCAAATATAAACTGTAAACCTAAAATCGTATGTTACCCGGTATAGGAATATGTGTGCTGCTCAATTGGATATATGTATTATGTGATTTTGTCATCAAAGCACCGGACGATACAGTACATGTGTAGAAATGGTCATCAAGTCTTCTAAATCGTGTGGAATAAAAGATTGATCTTCAGTCACATTATAGCATTGATTATTCGCGCGCGCACAAACAC